ACACTTTACAGCAAAGTGTCGGGGGTATGCAGCAAGACACTTTGTACTCGTTCATACTCTGCCTTTGTCAATGTTAACAAGAGTTAACTAAGTTGTTGTTGTTGTTAAAGATTCGCTACCTGGAACAAAATGTTCCAAGTAGCACGGGCTATGGTGAGCCCGTAGATAGTTATTATTAAGTACAAATCTTAGCGTCAGGCCAAATACAACTCTAAACATTAACTTTGGAGAGAAAAGTTTTCAACTTCCTTCTACAACGAAGTTGTACTGATATTGTATTTCCGTGTACTTGGTTGTTCTGTCTGTGTGTGTGTGGCTGCGGCTCCTGCTGGGGCGACACTGGGGTTGTGGATACTCTTGACCCCTGAAGGATTTGAACCCGGTCACCCAGGGTCTCCATGTGGCAGTCCAGTGCTCTTACCACTCAGCCACCGATGGTACAAAAGTAATGGAAGTCGTGAGACCTATATGCCCAACACCCGGCAACACTCGTGGCATTATTACCTGAAATATCTTTGCCTAATAATAATGCCACAGGTGCTATCGGGTGATCGGGTGTGGGGCATATATATATATATATATATATATATATATATATATATATATATATATATATATATATATATATATATATATATATATATATATATATATATATATATATATATATATATATATATACAGGTTCGTGCCAATAGGCTCTGAGACTCTTGGCGCCTGGGGTAAATGTGCACTTAAGTTCCTGAAGGAGCTGGGCGAGGAACTCATTGGGAAGACTAGAGACCCAAGAGCGGCCAGTTTTATGTTCCAGCGCCTCAGTGTCGCTGTTCAGAGGGGAAATGCGTGCTGTATCTTAGGTACGCACCCGACCCCCGAGGAGCTGGACGAAGTCTTCGAACACTGATTGGTATATTGTTATATAAGTGTGTGTTTTCTGTAAACTGTAGCATTGCAATAAAATCAAATAAAAAAAAAATAATAGGGGTGGTAGGAGAGGAAAAGATTAAAGTATTCAGTGAGAATCCACAAGGTCTTCTCTGAACACTATTTATTTTCTTCTTCGAGGATGTGGGTCCCTTTAATTAAACCAGTGGTGGTACCCCTAAATATATATATATATATATATATATATATATATATATATATATATATATATATATATATATATATATATATATATATATATATATATATATATATATATAATATATATATGCCCCACATATATACGATACAAGGACGATACTGTCTAGCCAGCCTTCGCCTTCCTTTTATTTCAGTACCCTTGTTATATATCTCAGTCACCCGTGTCGTGATTGTCGGCTGGTTATGTGTAAGTTGGTCGGGCGTGGGTGGGGTCGACCGTGGGTGGGTCCAGCGTGGGTGGGTCGACCGTGGGTGGGTCGACCGTGGGTGGGTCGACCGTGGGTGGGTCGACCGTGGGTGGGTCGACCGTGGGTGGGTCGACCGTGGGTGGGTCGACCGTGGGTGGGTCGACCGTGGGTGGGTCGACCGTGGGTGGGTCGACCGTGGGTGGGTCCAGCGTGGGTGGGATTGTTTATAGTGATAGTTTAATAAGGTGGTTGAGACTGGTCCACCTACTCGGTGTTGTGACGGCTAGCATATAATTGATTGTGTTAGGGTAGGGGGGAGAGGGGGGGGCTGTGGCTGCTTCCCCCCCCCTCTTTCTTGCCCTATCACCCCCTCTCTTCCTATCTTCCTCCCTCCTCTCACACCTCTCCTGCCTTCGTTTGCCTCTCTCACAATCTCTTTTACCTCTTCCCTCTCTTCACCCGTCTCCCCCTTTCTCTCTTCCATTCTCTCACACTTTCTTTGCCCTGGTCGACCCAGTCTCTCTACAGGCCTTTTTTTGTCTGTTCTTTCTGTCTCTATCTCTGTTTATCTCTCTCTCTCTATTTGCTGACTATATCTCAGTCTATCTCTCTCTCTCTATTTGCTGACTATATCTCAGTCTATCTCTCTCTCTATTTGCTGACTATATCTCTGTCTATCTCATATAAAAAATATAATAGATTTTCACCGCCATGCGGGTGGTCCGCTGGAGGATAGAAGCTAGTGGTGTAGTGACGGACCACCAGACAGTACCAATATGTAGTGACGGACCACCAGACAGTACCAATATGTAGTGATGGACCACCAGACAGTACCAATATGTAGTGACGGACCACCAGACAGTACCAATATGTAGTGATGGACCACCAGACAGTACCAATATGTAGTGATGGACCACCAGACAGTACCAATATGTAGTGACGGACCACCAGACAGTACCAATATGTAGTGATGGACCACCAGACAGTACCAATATGTAGTGATGGACCACCAGACAGTACCAATATGTAGTGATGGACCACCAGACAGTACCAATGTGTAGTGATGGACCACCAGACAGTACCAATATGTAGTGATGGACCACCAGACAGTACCAATATGTAGTGATGGACCACCAGACAGTACCAATATGTAGTGATGGACCACCAGACAGTACCAATATGTAGTGATGGACCACCAGACAGTACCAATATGTAGTGATGGACCACCAGACAGTACCAATATGTAGTGATGGACCACCAGACAGTACCAATATGTAGTGATGGACCACCAGACAGTACCAATATGTAGTGATGGACCACCAGACAGTACCAATATGTAGTGATGGACCACCAGACAGTACCAATATGTAGTGATGGACCACCAGACAGTACCAATATGTAGTGATGGACCACCAGACAGTACCAATATGTAGTGATGGACCACCAGACAGTACCAATATGTAGTGATGGACCACCAGACAGTACCAATATGTAGTGATGGACCACCAGACAGTACCAATATGTAGTGATGGACCACCAGACAGTACCAATATGTAGTGATGGACCACCAGACAGTACCAATATGTAGTGATGGACCACCAGACAGTACCAATATGTAGTGATGGACCACCAGACAGTACCAATATGTAGTGATGGACCACCAGACAGTACCAATATGTAGTGATGGACCACCAGACAGTACCAATATGTAGTGATGGACCACCAGACAGTACCAATATGTAGTGATGGACCACCAGACAGTACCAATATGTAGTGATGGACCACCAGACAGTACCAATATGTAGTGATGGACCACCAGACAGTACCAATATGTAGTGATGGACCACCAGACAGTACCAATATGTAGTGATGGACCACCAGACAGTACCAATATGTAGTGATGGACCACCAGACAGTACCAATATGTAGTGATGGACCACCAGACAGTACCAATATGTAGTGATGGACCACCAGACAGTACCAATATGTAGTGATGGACCACCAGACAGTACCAATATGTAGTGATGGACCACCAGACAGTACCAATATGTAGTGATGGACCACCAGACAGTACCAATATGTAGTGATGGACCACCAGACAGTACCAATATGTAGTGATGGACCACCAGACAGTACCAATATGTAGTGATGGACCACCAGACAGTACCAATATGTAGTGATGGACCACCAGACAGTACCAATATGTAGTGATGGACCACCAGACAGTACCAATATGTAGTGATGGACCACCAGACAGTACCAATATGTAGTGATGGACCACCAGACAGTACCAATATGTAGTGATGGACCACCAGACAGTACCAATATGTAGTGATGGACCACCAGTACCCATATGTAGTGTACCCAGTAATATGTAGTGATGGACCACCAGACAGTACCAATATGTAGTGATGGACCACCAGACAGTACCAATATGTAGTGATGGACCACCAGACAGTACCAATATGTAGTGATGGACCACCAGACAGTACCAATATGTAGTGATGGACCACCAGACAGTACCAATATGTAGTGATGGACCACCAGACAGTACCAATATGTAGTGATGGACCACCAGACAGTACCAATATGTAGTGATGGACCACCAGACAGTACCAATATGTAGTGATGGACCACCAGACAGTACCAATATGTAGTGATGGACCACCAGACAGTACCAATATGTAGTGATGGACCACCAGACAGTACCAATATGTAGTGATGGACCACCAGACAGTACCAATATGTAGTGATGGACCACCAGACAGTACCAATATGTAGTGATGGACCACCAGACAGTACCAATATGTAGTGATGGACCACCAGACAGTACCAATATGTAGTGATGGACCACCAGACAGTACCAATATGTAGTGATGGACCACCAGACAGTACCAATATGTAGTGATGGACCACCAGACAGTACCAATATGTAGTGATGGACCACCAGACAGTACCAATATGTAGTGATGGACCACCAGACAGTACCAATATGTAGTGATGGACCACCAGACAGTACCAATATGTAGTGATGGACCACCAGACAGTACCAATATGTAGTGATGGACCACCAGACAGTACCAATATGTAGTGATGGACCACCAGACAGTACCAATATGTAGTGATGGACCACCAGACAGTACCAATATGTAGTGATGGACCACCAGAAAGTACCAATATGTAGTGATGGACCACCAGACAGTACCAATATGTAGTGATGGACCACCAGACCAATATGTAGTGATGGACCACCACTACCAATATGTAGTGATGGACCACCAGACAGTACCAATATGTAGTGATGGACCACCAGACAGTACCAATATGTAGTGATGGACCACCAGAAAGTACGAGAGAACACAATGAGAGAAAACAGCTGGAGAACACAGCAACGGAACAGTTCAGTGTAGTTCACTGTTATAGTATTGTTCTCCAGTAACATGTGTGGGAACATTTGGGTCGCAAATGGGGGGATTAAAAGATGAGAGGAGGGACCAGTGTTGTGTCTTACCTCCAGTGTCTTAACTCTGAGGACTTACGACAACACAACTGGTAATGGTGTTTGGATCGTAAGTCAGTGTGTGATCTACGTGGCCAGGGTAAGCCATCCTTCAGGAGTTCTTAGTCAGCTAAAGAGGTGGAGGATGAATAGTAGGAAGTAGAAGGATGAGGCTTACAGTAGAAGGCTTACAGGTTCCTGAAGATGAGAGGGGAATGTCAGCCCTGTGGAGAAATGCCCGACAGACCACTGGGACATTATCTAACACTGTTCACAGTTACAACCACAACAGACCAATGGAACATTATCTAACATAGTGCACACTTACAACCACAACAGACCAATGGAACATTATCTAACACAGTGCACACTTACAACCACAACAGACCACTGGAACATTATCTAACACAGTGCACACTTACAACCACAACAGACCACTGGAACATTATCTAACATAGTGCACACTTACAACCACAACAGACCACTGGAACATTATCTAACACAGTGCACACTTACAACCACAACAGACCACTGGAACATTATCTAACACAGTGCACACTTACAACCACAATAGCCATGGACAAGTGACCTCACCTCACTGGACAAAACTATATAGACATGGACAAGTGACCTCAGATCATTTGACAAAATTACACAGCCATAGACATATCACTTCAGACCATTGGACAACCCCACAAAATCATGAACAGATGACCTCACAACAATGAACAAGACCACATAGCTATGGACAGTTGACCCGAGACCACTGGACAAAACCCCAGGGCCATGGACAGAGATGACAGGAGAGAGAGAACAGGTAAGAGATAACCTGAGAGACGCGTTGTCTCCTGGTTATCACAGGTAATGTAGTGGAAAAAAACCTCAGCAGTGATTGACCTCTCCCGGACGAGACGTAAACATGTTTGTTCAACGATAAGATACTGCCAAGTCTCCCGAGACCTTAGTTTGTCCTTACAACCTGTGGCAGGTGACGTCCCAGTACCTGTGGCAGGTGACGTCCCAGTACCTGTGGCAGGTGACGTCCCAGTACCTGTGGCAGGTGACGTCCCAGTACCTGTGGCAGGTGACGTCCCAGTACCTGTGGCAGGTGACGTCCCAGTACCTGTGGCAGGTGACGTCTCTTGACCCCAGTACCTGTGGCAGGTGACGTCCCAGTACCTGTGGCAGGTGACGTCTCTCGACCCCAGTACCTGTGGCAGGTGACATCTCTTGACCCCAGTACCTGTGGCAGGTGACGTCTCTTGACCCCAGTACCTGTGGCAGGTGACGTCTCTTGACCCCAGTACCTGTGGCAGGTGACGTCTCTTGACCCCAGTACCTGTGGCAGGTGACGTCTCTTGACCCCAGTACCTGTGGCAGGTGATATGACCCCAGTACCTGTGGCAGGTGATATGACCCAAGTACCTGTGGCAGGTGATATGACCCAAGTACCTGTGGCAGGTGATATGACCCAAGTACCTGTGGCAGGTGATATGACCCAAGTACCTGTGGCAGGTGATATGACCCAAGTACCTGTAGCAGGTGACGTCACTAGTCACCGCCGCTGCTAAGAGCTATCTGGAGTTTTATTGTGAGAAGTGTCTGTGTCTGGCGGGCTACTGGGTACGGCACCCAGCACTGCTTTTACCACTATCACCAACAACGGGACCCTCACACCAACAACGGGACCCTCACACCAACAACGGGACCCCTCACACCAACAACAGGACCCCTCACACCAACAACAGGACCCCTCACTCCAACAACGGGACCCTCACACCTACAACGGGACCCTCACACCAACAACGGGACCCCTCACACCAACAACAGGACCCCTCACACCAACAACAGGACCCCTCACACCAACAACGGGACCCTCACACCAACAACGGGACCCTCACACCAACAACGGGACCCTCACACCAACAACGGGACCCCTCACACCAATAACAGGACCCCTCACTCCAACAACGGGACCCTCACACCAACAACAGGACCCCTCACTCCAACAACGGGACCCTCACACCAACAACGGGACCCCTCACACCAACAACAGGACCCCTCACTCCAACAACAGGACCCCTCACTCCAACAACGGGACCCTCACTCCAACAACAGGACCCCTCACACCAACAACAGGACCCCTCACTCCAACAACGGGACCCCTCACTCCAACAACGGGACCCTCACACCAACAACAGGACCCCTCACTCCAACAACGGGACCCTCACACCAACAACGGGACCCTCACACCAACAACGGGACCCTCACACCAACAACGGGACCCTCACACCAACAACGGGACCCTCACACCAACAACGGGACCCTCACACCAACAACAGGACCCTCACACCAACAACGGGACCCCTCACACCAACAACGGGACCCTCACAGCGACAACGGGACCCTCACAGCAACAACGGGACCCTCACACCAACAACGGGACCCTCACACCAACAACGGGACCCTCACTCCAACAACGGGACCCCTCACACCAACAACAGGACCCCTCACACCAACAACGGGACCCTCACACCAACAACAGGACCCCTCACTCCAACAACGGGACCCTCACACCAACAACGGGACCCTCACACCAACAACGGGACCCTCACACCAACAACAGGACCCTCACACCAACAACGGGACCCTCACAGCGACAACGGGACCCTCACACCAACAACGGGACCCTCACACCAACAACGGGACCCTCACAGCAACAACGGGACCCTCACACCAACAACGGGACCCTCACACCAACAACGGGACCCTCACACCAACAACGGGACCCTCACACCAACAACGGGACCCTCACACCAACAACAGGACCCTCACACCAACAACGGGACCCTCACAGCAACAACGGGACCCTCACACCAACAACAGGACCCTCACAGCAACAACGGGACCCTCACAGCAACAACGGGACCCTCACACCAACAACGGGACCCCTCACACCAACAACGGGACCCTCACACCAACAACGGGACCCTCACACCAACAACGGGACCCTCACACCAACAACGGGACCCTCACACCAACAACGGGACCCTCACACCAACAACGGGACCCTCACAGCAACAACAGGACCCTCACACCAACAACAGGACCCTCACACCAACAACAGGACCCTCACAGCAACAACGGGACCCTCACACCAACAACGGGACCCTCACACCAACAACAGGACCCTCACACCAACAACGGGACCCTCACACCAACAACAGGACCCTCACAGCGACAACGGTACCCTCACACCAACAACGGGACCCTCACACCAACAACAGGACCCTCACAGCAACAACGGGACCCTCACACCAACAACAGGACCCTCACAGCAACAACGGGACCCTCACACCAACAACGGGACCCTCACACCAACAACGGGACCCTCACACCAACAACAGGACCCTCACAGCAACAACGGGATCCTCACACCAACAACGGGACCCTCACACCAACAACGGGACCCCTCACAGACGCAGGAAGTTCCTCATGCTTCTCTTCACTAAGAAATGTTTTCTCAGGAAATTAAAAATTCATGGTGGCTCTTGTGGAAACTGTCGGTGGGGTGGGGTGGGGGGATGCTGGGGTTGTTGAGGGGGTGCCGCCCCCCTCCCCTGTGGGGGTGGTGGCCCCCTTCTCCCCTCTCTGGAGGGGAGAACTGTGAGGGGAAACCCAGCGAGAAGCACCGGTTGTCTCCCTCTCTTTCCTGCTTAAAATTATTCATATCTGCATTTTATTTCTTTAATTTAGATCTTTTTCATATTTGTTTTTCTTACAAATATTTATCATATTGTCTTTGGTCTTTATTTTATCTAATATTGATAACTTGTGTCTGGTCTCCTGCTCTCACCTCCAAACTTCGTTACATTACATTTACTTGAGTTAAACTCTAGTAGCCATTTAGTGTATCATTCTTTCAGTTTGCCCGGGTCATCAGAGAGCCTCTTGCTGTCTTGATCCTCCTCATAAAATTTGCATCATTAGTCCACATTATGAGGAATGAATCTTTGGAAGAGCATTTACATATATGAGAGACACAATAGGTCCAGGAACTGTGTGTGTGTGCCACTGGTCCGCATCCCAGGCTCGTTAAAGCTGCGGCCATCCCTCAAGACGCAACTATCTATTTTAATGTGTTTTAAAAATAGACTTGCTCTCATAAATTAAAATTATATATTGAAGTTTTTTGTATAGTTAGAAGTAGGATTTGTTGGCGATTATTTGTGTTTGTAACACGTGGGTGAAGCATTTTCAGACTTGCGATTCGAACAATGGTCGTGAGTGAGACAATGTTTGAACGTCACCAGTTGAGTCGTGTGTAAACCGATTTTCATTGCTAAACACGGCGGGGGTTGGCGGCTGAATTAACGAGCATTTGGGCCGTGTTGATGAGGAGGGGTTGTCAACGAAGAGCAAATGCTCGGTAATCCTGTTTAGGAATGAAAAACGGTTTACATACGACTCAACTGGTGACGTTCGAACACTTCTGAAGAGTCCTTTGGTGACGACCACTGTTCGAATCACAAGTTTGTAAATGCTTCACCCACGTACTACAAACACAGATAATCGCCAACAGAACCTAAACACCTAACCTAACTAATGCCTAAATATACACAATATGCTAATATATACTCGGAGAAAATTCCTATTTAGAATGAAGTGCATGTTAACACGGATGAGTGTGTCTTGGGGTTGGCCGCTGGAGGGCTCAGTGACCTTGATGTTGTCACCGTATATCAGTATGGTATTATTAGTGTATGGGATCGGCTTGTAGACCCATAGACCTCTTGCTACTTATAGAGGACACACCCCTCCCGTGCGGGGGGGGGGGGGGGGTTGTTGAGACCAGGGGCCAGATTCACGAACTCAAGTACTTACGAACGTGTACATCTTTCCTCAATCTTTGACGGTTTTAATTACATTTATTAAATAGTTTACAAGCATGAAAACTTGTCAATCAACTGTTGATATTGTTATAAACAGCCTCCTGGTGCTTCGGAGCTCATTAACTGTGTAATAATTGAAACCAAAGCCGCCAAAAAATGAAATTGAGAAAAATTGAAAAATTGAGATTGAAAAAAAATGTACAGGTTCGTAAGTGCTTGCGTAACTGCTTCGTGAATCTGGCCCCAGATCTACGCTTCCAGGCTTGCGATCCCCACCACCTGCCACAGTACCGTACTGGTACACACAGGTGTGGGCCCAGTACTGGAAGGGACCGTACTGGTACACAGAGGGTCGGTCCAGTACTGGAAGGAACCGTACTGGTACACACAGTGTGGGTCCAGTACTGGAAGGGACCGTACTGGTACACACAGTGTGGGTCCAGTACTGGAAGGAACCGTACTGGTACACACAGTGTGGGTCCAGTACTGGAAGCCTCGCTATAGACTCCACATCAACGCCACAATGTTGGAGTGGTTGGTAACAGGTTGGTTCAGTAGTTGCTAGACTAGATCCGAGTCTCAACTAGCTAGCATAACAGCTGCCTTACAAACAATGACCATTGTAGTACCTAGTTACCAAACAGATAAGAATTAAGTCAAGGAGGTATAATTGTATGATAAGAGAATCTCCCTTATCGTGTATGATTAAGGAAATGCTACTGCATATAGATATGTATAATAATACATTATATTTGTATTCTAATGCATTATCATACATTAGCCAACTTGTTTTTTGTAGTCTATTCTATAGTTAAGCCGAAAACAAAAAATTTCTGATGTTACTGGTTCCCAAATAATATACATCCAAGCTTTATTGAATATATCCCTTTATATGAATATATTTATTATTGAATATATATTGAATATATATATTGAATATATCTCCCTTTATTGAATATATCCCTTTATATGAATTGAATATCCGGTCCCTTTATATATTCATTTAAATGGGAACATGTGAAGTGTTTATATAAATGTGTTATATAATAACCCTCACGTATAGCAGTATAGGGGTTCGACCCGGTTGTGACCTGAACCATCCGGCTCTGGGGGACAACAACAACCCAGCCACCTGACCAACTGTCTCCACTATAACATCACAACACTATATAACCACAGGGAAGGGTAACCATGTTTACGGGCTCACCATAGCCCGTGCTACATGGACACTTCGTCCTGAGTAGCTAAATCTGATACAACAACAACCATGTAAAGATATAATTATGTTAGGTAAGACAACACGTCTCTGGGGGTGTAGGGGAAGGGGCAAGTGGGCAAGCTGCCTCCCTCTTGGGTAACACCCTCTTGACATGTTGTTAAAGTCTTAGATTTATTGGTAATAGTTTATTAACATTGTGCGTGAAAAGAGGCTCTTCTAGAGGGAGCCCGCGGTGTGACGGCCTCTATAGCGTGACCCGCGGGGTGACAGCCTCTATAGGGCGACCCGAGGGGTGACGGCCTCTATAGGGTGACCCGCGGGGTAACGGCCTCTATAGGGTGACCCGCGGGGTGACGGTCTCTATAGGGTGACCCGCGAGGTGACAGCCTCTATAGGGTGACCCGCGGGGTGATGTCCTCTACAGGGTGACCCGCGGGGTGACTGCCTCTACAGGGTGACCTGCGGGGTGACAGCCTCTACAGGGTGACCCGCGGGGTGACGGCCTCTACAGGGTGACCCGCGGGGTGACGGCCTCTACAGGGTGACCCGCGGGGTGACGGCTTCACTTCAGGTCCTCTTCTTCACGCAAAAATAATCAATAGTCCACTTGGCTCATATCTCTCTTTCCGGCGACGACTGTTCCGGTGACATGATCACTACATACAAAATTCTCAGGGGGAATTGACAGGGTAAAGAAGGATGGACTATTTAACACTGGTGGCACACGCACAAGGGGACACAGGTGGAAACTGAGTTCCCCAAATGAGCCACAGAGACATTAAAAAGAACTTTTTCAGTGTGAGAGTAGTTAGTAAATGGAATGCACTAGGAAGTGATGTGGTGGAGGCTGACTCCATACACAGTTTCAAATGTAAATATGATGGAGCTTGAGAAGTTGACAACTAGGTGAGTACCACGAGGTGTCCTTAGTGAAGAAAGGGATGACGGGAACAGTCTTCACAATACCAAAATTAAGTGACGCTTGGAAGGGATCAGGATAAGGATTTGGGATGGGACGGAGGGAAGGAATGGTGCCCAACCACTTGGACGGTTGGGGATTGAACGCCGACCTGCATGAAGCGAGACCGTCGCTCTACCGTCCAGTCCAAGCGGTTGGGGTCGTGTTGGGAGACTTATAAGATAATCATTATGTCTGAAAACAGTTAATATAAGGAGGGTGGCGCGCGGTACATGAACCTAAGCATTGACAGGAAGATAAAATAGTGAGCGCGCAATACGGCAAGATGGCAGTCGTCATTTGGAGAGAGTATTGGCATCGCGGGATTTATGATGCAAAGAGGATTCCATCTTGTTCGCTTGGCTACACCAGGGGATCCCGGCCTCCAAACGTCTTTCAAGTCCCTTCTTATTATGTTAAAGGGGGTCGAGATCTCTTTTTTTCATTTGTGGCATCATTTTAAGCGCAACAACTTTCAAATTTGGCGGGTTTTTTGTTTGTTTATTCTGGCACACTTATTGTACTTGTTTGTGGGCGACTTTGTTTGTTTAGTTCTTACACGTGCACAGTTGTTGAGGAGTGTGTGTTACACGTGTGAGGGGCGCCACATCCTGTCTCACTCAGATACTCACAAAGTTAACTTAGCTCAAGTTGTGTGTGAGAGAGAGAGAGGGAGGGAGGGAGGCAGAGAGGGAGGGAAAGGGAGAGACAGACAGACAGAAAGTGTGATACTGGAGAGGCGTGAAAAATTATAGATTGTCGATACACTTCCGACATAATGGACAGAAATGTTACGAATGTCTTTATGTAAAATGAAATTGAGAGAGAAAGTTCCGGAGCGTTGTTACTCTTTGGCTACCGTCACTCACAACTGTGTGGGGGGGGGGTTGTTACTCCCTGGCTACCGTCACTCACAACTGTGTGGGGGGGGGGGTTGTTACTCCCTGGCTACCGTCACTCACAACTGTGTGGTGTGGGGGGGGGGGGGGTTGTCACTCCCTGGCTACCGTCACTCACAACTGTGTGGTGTGGGGGGGGGGTTGTCACTCCCTGGCTACCGTCACTCACAACTGTGTAGGGGGGGGTTGTCACTCCCTGGCTACCGTCACTCACAACTGTGTGGTGTGGGGGGGGGTTGTCACTCCCTGGCTACCGTCACTCACAACTGTGTAGGGGGGGTTGTCACTCCCTGGCTACCGTCACTCATCCACCAGTATAACACGCTGGGTACTCAAAATGTGTATTTTCTCAAATATTAATACCTGCTAGAATGTGTTAAATAGTTAGGCGTAACATAGGTGGTTATGTTGCGTTGGCCATTATGGGTAGTTAGTGTGTGTGTGTGTGTAGCAACCCGTCCTCTCCCTCTCTCTCTACCCTCTCATACCTCTCCCTCTCTCTCTACCCTCTCACACCTCTCCTCCCTCTCTACCCTCTCTACCT